TATTAAAAATTAATTCAAGCAGTTCAGAACAAATAAGTGGATGAGGCCTAGCATTTTTTTGCGTAAGAAGCATGATGTATATGTAAGAAACATGTATAAGATAATAGAGAAACTAGCAAAGTTTAAAATAAAAAACATGATTGCTAAAATTTGCTAGTAAAGTATTAGATCAGTGGTAATATTCCAAAATAATCAATATAATAATACCTAAAAGTAATTGATGTGATAGTATTCTAAAGTATTCCAGAGTAGTAACTATACGAGAAAGAAATCTAGGAAGGCTCAGCGAAAAATAAGATATAAAATTGGTAGTACCCCAAGGTAGAATTATATATAGGAAAGAAAATAAGAAATTCTACCTTAGGGGCCTACCGTCGATAGATAGAAAAGAGATCAGGAAGGCAAAAAGGTTCAAGAAGATATACAAAAAAAGGGTATGAAAGCAATATATCCTGAACTAATTCAGCACTTCGTGCCTCATCCTCAGCAATCAAAAGATGGCCACAAAAGGCAGGATTGTAAGAATGGCATAATACTGGCACTTCGCAAAAACTTAACAAAGTACTAATAAATAGGTGTACGCAAATTGAACTTTTTTACATATAATACTCGCAAGGATATTATCATGTCTGATATTTACTCTATATTTGATTAAGATGAAATATGATAGAAATACTTATGGAATATGAATATACTTTATAAGATAAATAAGATAAACATTATGCTTACTCGTTTTGTAACAATGGTCTAACAATATCTCGTAAAATTATGTATTAAATTTTTGAAAATCTCTTAATATTGTTAAAGGTTTTTATATCACGTAATAATTTTGGGTAAATCAAGATCACTGAAATTTTGCATGACAGACTGTCATTGAAAATAGAGATAGCAAATTAACCACGCTATCTGTCATTTTTTTTTTACATCACTTAAGAATGGCATAACACCAGCACTTCACATGTGTCTCATCTGGCAATCAAGAAATGGCAATTGAAAAGGAAAATATATAGGCTGATCAATATAATGCAAATTACACCTCTGATTCTTTAACCAACTGATCACTAAACTAGGCTCTCAAAAATTACTTGAAAGTGACAGAAATACTATTCCATATTTTTTTTCCAAACTTTGAGATGCAATAACTCGATATTCAGGCATCCGATTAATGCAGTCTTAGCATCATTAGAAAGCTCTCAACGCTCTTTTTCAAATGACCATAAAACTGCATAAAACAAATTACAGGAAATCAAGATATTCCACCCTAAAGATCGGCCAGAAATCATGCCATAGTGTCAGCCAAAATTTGATCTGCAAATTAACTGCGTCACTCGATCACATAATTTTTAGCAATCAATGCTGGCCTAGTATCTTGACTACAAAAAGACCACTGTGCAATAAAAACAAACGGATAGTTAGAAGCAAATAAAAAGAGAACAGAGTAATAAAATCAAGCAGATATCTATAAAGCAATAAAAAGGTTACAGAATAGTAAAAACAGTAACTAGATAATAATTTACTCATAACTAGGTAACAATATTCATAACTAGGTAATAATTTACTCATAACTAGGTGACAATATTCATAACTAGGTAACAATTTACTCATAACTAGGTAATATTATAATTGAACTGAATAATACTCTTATAAGAGTGTTATCTAGTATAATAAAATTATTTATAAGTAATTCTAAATTATTTGTTAAATAAGATTTAGCATTTTATTGGATCTATTATTTAAAGATATATATATTTTTTAACTAATACAAACATAATGTTATCAAATTTGTAAAAAAATAAAATATTATATAATTTGATTTAATAAGTGAGATTTAAAAACTTTTTTTATAATGACAACTTTATCTTTTAGATTATAAAAATTTGTTTGTTTATTTATTATAAATTCATTTTTAATTTATTTTTATTAAAAATTAAAATTTTTTTTGATAATTTTTATTTTTTAATTATATGAGTTGATTGTTAGGAAAATCAGGTTCTGGGAATTTTTTAGCAAAATTGAGATTTTTATTGCATTTTAGTTTTTGATGTTATTAGATTAAAATGTATTAAGCTCTTTATTTTAGTCAAAAATTTCTCGGAATCTGATTTTCCTAGAAACACTCCCATATAGGTATTTTGTAGCAAAAAAGAAAAAACTATCAAAAAAATTTTTTTGAATTAATTTTAAATTTGAATTTATTTTACTAAAATAATAATATTTAACTTATAAAATAAAAAATTTTTTTGGTAGTTTTTTTATTTTCTACTATAAAGTATTTATATAATTTATATGTAGTATGTATAATAATATTACCTCTAATATATATAACTTTTAAATAAATATACTAATAATTCATATTACCTTATTTATTCTTTTATATTTTATTGTCATATAGCTCTCTTATAATGTTTTACATTTTTAAAAAAAATGAGAAATATTTAGATTATTTTTAAGATAAAAAGTAGTTTTAAATAGTTTATAATTTCAGTTGTTAAAAATATTATTTAATAATTTTATAATAGTTAAAGATAGAATTTATGAATTTGAAGATAATTTAGGTAGTATAAGAACTTATCTTTATTTTAATATTGAAAAGACTTATATTTATGTATAGAATTTTGTAAATAATGAAAAAGAAAGTAATGAAATTATTTCTATTAGGCTTATTTATAGGTCAGAATTAAAGAGATTAAACTCTACAAAATATTTTTGCTATTCTTGCTTATAAAACTATTTGTTGAAATTAGATTTAATTTCTGAAATATTATTTAAAGAAATATAAAAAGTAAAAGGGTTTTATTATGAAATAATGTAAAGTTAAATATCATAAGAATTTAATTGATATGTTAATTTAAATAATTTTGAAGATATTGTATACACATAATATTTGCTAATCTTAAATATAATCAAATTCAATTATATATATTCTTTTTTTAAAAATAAAATAAAAAAAATTTTTTTACTTATATTAATTTTGATTATTTACCTTTTTCAGATAATAAGTTTATTATTAGTCTATACTAGTAAATTCATTTAGAGGAAATTTTTAATGAGAATAAGATTTTATATATTTTATAGCAAAATTTTATTCTATAAGAAAAAATAAACTAATAACCACTATTATCTTATATTAAAAAAATATATATATATTTTCAAGAATTTCGTTTTTTAGCAAATTTTGCAAGAGAATTTCTTCAAATGATAAAAATTCAAATCTATTATAATTCTTGAAAAAAATACATTTATTAGGAGGGTAAGTAGAGCTAATTAGAAGAAAATAAAATTTAAGCAATGTTTTTCTTTATCAATGTGAGTAAATCTATTTTAAGATTGCAATTATCTGAGTAAAGAAAATAAAAAGATAAAGATTGTATTAAATAAAAATAAAAATAAATTCTTATAACATAAGGTTAAGCCAGGATAAATTAGTTTTCATTGAATTCAACATTTTCCATCGCCTCCTGAGTATTATCATCTGATACTTTTTCTTTCAACTCTTTGTGTTGAGATGTTTGACCCGAATTATAATTAAATCCTTCAACACGATGAGAATTTGCAAACCGTCCTTTATAACCAGTTCTTATTCCAAAGGTAATAGTTTTAGGTACTCTTGGTAATCTTAGGTTCGACATGGATTTAGTAAGAGAATCAACATCCATAGTTCCAGGCTCGGTGTCAATAAAGTTGGATGAATCTACTTTCAAAGTACTTGTAGAATTACCATGTTCCATTGTTGGTAATTGTGATGATTCTAAATTTCTATTACTTTAGGTGAAATATATGGCCAATTTTTTATTAAGCAAATAGCTTATTAAGATAATAATATAAAACCATAATAATATAAAACCTGTTCTTTCTCTTTTTTTTCCTTATTTTATCCGCATTTCGTATGCTAAATGGAATGATTCCATTCACAAGTATACCAAAGTTAAAAGTTTTCGGATATTTATGATAATCTATCAAATGAAGTCGTCGTTTCTTTGGGCTCCAAAAAAACCTATTACAACTCTGAACATAACATTCATGCTATAAATAAGGTTGAGACGCGTTAAATTCGAGGTATGAAATGAAAAAATAAAGGAATATCTATATATCTATATTATAATTACTATCTTTTCACCCTTTTCTTTTCTCATCAGAGTCATAATGTCATGAAATTCCGTCAAATGAAGATTCAGCCAACGTTCTGAAGGAAATACTTTGTCACATTCTTGACAAAAATGACGATGAGAAGTATTATAGTGAGTTTCGTAGTCTAAAGCTGTATAAAACATTATTGGATTTTTATTACACCAAGGTGGTAAACAACATGTGATTGGGTTTGCGCTAGAAAGGGAAACGGTTAATGACTTTAATTTTTGTATTTGAAACATTTTGAAAAATTTTTTTTTTGCGTTTTCTATTTTACATTGTTAGTGACTTTAGCTCCTCGTTGAAAACCTCTTCAATTTGTAAACGTGAGTGCTTTTTCAACCAATCGAAACGGAATTCCAAGTTTCCTAGTGTGAAAAATGGATCTTCTGGTGAAAATTTTCGTTTGAATGGGTGATAAAATTCTGACATGTTTGATAAATAGGAAGAAATCTATCAATCTCTGATTTGCAAACTACATTAACTCATATAAATATTGATATATTGATATATATATCTCTATATAGTAACGTCACAGATTCATTTTTGTTTACTAATTAAAAATTTTAAATTCTTTGAATTAACTGTGCAATTGGAAATGCTTAATTTATATCAGTCGAAAAAGTATATGCAGCAATTCAATTCCAATAGTGTAATATAAATAAATCTACGCGTCGTAATAGTACCTATATAGTAATGTACCATTGTATTAATTGTATTACTAACCAACAACGGAAATACGGATAAAACGTATAAATTGCCAGATCACGAAAAAATGTCGAATCAAATCAGATACGCGATTTTTCGTTCAAATTAAAACCAACTTGTTATATCACCGAGTTTTCGAAAATTTTATTCTTGACGCATCAAAAATGTCTTCAATGGATATTGACACAAGCCTTGATAATATCAACGAACCAATTAATGAAGGTATAAAAGAAAACGGTGATCATTCGAAGTCGCTTACGGTATTTGTCAATTTGCTTTTTTTTTTTTTTTTTTTTTTTTTTACCACACTGTCCTTCTAAGTTCATTCCTTTTACGTTGAAAAACTTTTATAGGCTTCACGTGATACTTCATTCGTCGATGAAGACGTTCTAATGTCAGAAGTACAAGTAAAGCAGGTTTCTAATGATGAGTCTGAACAGGTATTAATTTTATTTCTTTTCTACATTATTATCAAGCTAAAATTTTCGTATCAATAATTTTAAACATGTTTTTTATTTTGTTTGATTAAAAGAGTGGCTCAAAATCAAGTAAGACTGCGAAAGGAGAACTTCAACGTTTAAGACAAGAGCGAAAGGTTCAAAAGGAATCCTTCGAAAGTGATAGGCGAGAATTAAATAAATCAAAGGTGCATTTTATGAATTTTTGTAAAATTCTCATTGATTTATTAAAATCAATGTGTCTTTCTAACAATTACCTTATTAGATCAAAGATACTGCTAAAAGATTCCAATTTTTACTTGGACATTCAGGTAATATCAATAACTAAAACTTAATAAGTAATGATTGATAGCTTGTTTAATTGTTACTTATCTCAATTCAACATTATATATTTATTTAATACTTCAAAGAGTTATTTTCGCATTTTATTGATTTAAAGGTAAGTAATATGATTTTGAGTCAAAACTATAAAATTTATAAAATTAATTCGCCTTGTATTTATAGAAATCTAAAGATGAAGAGTTTAAAGATCTTGTTGAAGAAACAGAAAAGTTAAATAAATCAAAACAAAATTCTGATGGGTAATGATATTACATTATGTTTATATATTTGTGAAAATGTCATTATAATAAAACTTTTCTTTGTTCTATTCGTTGATTTAGATCTCGTCGTCATAGAAAGACAGAAAAAGAAGAAGATGAGGTTATTAAAACTTTTAGTTTTACTGTTAGTTTTAATTGATTATTCTAATATTTTATGTTAAATAGGAACTACTAGAAGATGAAGAAGATGAATCGGAAGACGTTCCAACCGTTTTTAATGAATCGCCAAACTGTGAGTGAAAAAAACAGTTCATTTTTTGTACTTTCCTTATTTTCCTAAATTATTTGAAACATTAATTTGTGGTTACAGATATAAAACATGGGGTTATGCGCGATTACCAACTTCAAGGATTGAATTGGATGATATCTCTTTTCGAAAATGGAATAAACGGTATTTTGGCTGATGAAATGGTAAATTATGATTTTATTATATATTGATTGTTAGATTTATAGTTTAACAGCTTTTCGTATTTTGGAAAAAAACAGGGTCTCGGCAAGACATTGCAAACCATTTCATTTTTGGGATACTTAAAACATTATCGTAATATACCCGGTCCTCATCTTGTTGTCGCTCCAAAATCAACATTATTTAATTGGCAGAAAGAATTCAATATGTGGACACCGGATTTTCACATACTTGTTCTTCAAGGAAATAAAAATGATAGGGTGATGTATATAATATTTAAACTCGAAATTTTTTTACTTACGATTATTAATCATTTGTTTTCATATACTTACATTATCATAGGCTCAATTAATAAAAGATCGATTATTGTCCCAGGATTTCCAAGTTTGCATAACATCTTACGAGATGTGTTTGATAGAAAAAGCACATCTAAAAAAGTTTGCTTTTCAATATATAATAATCGATGAAGCTCACCGTATAAAAAACGAGAATTCTATGCTTTCACAGATTGTCAGACTTTTTAAATCACGAAATCGTTTATTGATCACTGGAACACCACTACAAAATAATCTTCATGAGTTATGGGCACTCTTAAACTTTCTTTTGCCAGATGTTTTCAGCTCATCAGAAGATTTTGATTCTTGGTTTAGTTCTCAAGGCGGTGATCAAGATAGTGTCATTCAACAGCTTCATAAGGTATTATCTATAATGTTATAAATTTAATTTAATTATGAATTTTAAATGATCATTTATTACTTATTTGTAGGTTCTGAGACCTTTCCTTTTGAGAAGAATAAAATCTGACGTTGAAAAATCTCTTCTTCCGAAAAAAGAGATAAACTTGTATGTTGGCATGTCATCGATGCAACGCAAATGGTATCAACGAATTTTAGAGAAAGATATTGCCGCCGTTAATGGTAAATCCATAAGCATTTTTTTTTAGCAATGTTATTGAATATCGAACTAAAATGATTCTATTAATTGGTCATAATATAGGTGCCATCAGCAAAAGTGAAAGTAAGACACGGTTGTTGAATATTGTAATGCAACTTAGGAAATGTTGCAATCATCCATATCTTTTTGATGGTGCTGTAAGTATTATTACTATTTATTAATACTTAAAGAGTAATGTTAAACAATATTTATTTATTTTTAAATTAGGAACCTGGTCCCCCATATACAACCGATGAACATCTAGTTGACAATGCCGGTAAAATGATAGTACTAGATAGACTCCTCAAACGGCTAAATGCTCAAGGATCTCGTGTCCTACTATTTAGTCAAATGAGTCGTGTTCTCGATATATTGGAAGATTATTGTATATTCCGTGGATTTGGTATGCACTATGTCATTTCATATGAATTTTTGAGATATTATATATAACCAAAAAATTTGTCTTAGAATACTGTCGTATTGACGGACAAACAAAACAAGATGATCGTGTTACTGCAATCGACGAGTATAACGCACCGGGGAGCAGCAAGTTTATCTTCTTACTCACTACTCGAGCTGGTGGTCTTGGAATCAATCTGACTTCCGCTGATATAGTAATTCTTTACGATAGTGATTGGTAAGAATCAGTTTAATATTATTTCTATTCTGTTTATTAATTAATATATATACTTTGATATGTAGGAATCCTCAAGTTGATCTTCAAGCACAAGATCGCGCTCATCGTATTGGACAAACAAAACAAGTTTATGTATTCCGTTTTGTAACTGAAGTAAATAGATGTTATTCATATAAATAGAATTAAATCATTTGAACGTTAACTAATAATTCTATCCTTATTTAACAGAATGCTATTGAAGAAAAGGTGCTAGAACGTGCTGCACAAAAGTTGCGTTTGGATCAACTTGTCATTCAACAAGGACGATTAGCTCAAACGCAAAAAGGTTTAGAATAATACTTTGAATTTATTGAAGCAGATTATTTCTATAAATATTTTATAATTTAACCAATTATAAATGTATAATTACAGCCGCTTCTAAGGAAGAACTCTTGACCATGATTCAACATGGTGCAGAGGGTATCTTTACTTCAAACGATAGGTAAGACTAATGATGTAATTATTCTTTTTGAATTTGTTATATAAAAAATAAATTTTATTAATAATTTAATCCGACCATAAATTTAGCACTGTCACGGATGATGATATTGATAAAATTCTCCGTAAAGGTGAAGAAAAAACTGCCGAACTTTCAAGTAAATATCAAAGCCTTGGGCTAGAAGATTTACAAAACTTTACGTCAGAATCGGCTTATCAATGGCAAGGCGAGGATTGGAGTAATAAGGTTGGTCTTTTTTTCTTTATAATCCTTAGTATTATTATTATTATTATTATATTGACAGTTACAATTGATTTTGTAATATTCAGCAAAAGAAAAGTGACATAGGTCGTTTTAGTTGGATAGAACCGCCTAAGAGAGAACGTAAAGTCAATTATGCAGTCGACTCGTATTATAGAGAAGCACTTCGTGTAACGACTAAGCCAACTCAGGCTAAACCTCCAAAGGCGCCGAAACAGATAACCATGTTGGTATCATATATTTACTTGTTCTATTTTAATGTGTGTAATTTATAAAATAATTCTTTTTTAATTTTTTTTTAGTAATGAGCATCAATTCTACCCTCCACGTTTGGTAGAATTATTAAAAAGAGATATGTATTATCAACAAGTATGTATTAACATATTCTTGTGAAGGTTATAGCTATAAGTTAAAATTTTCATTAATAGTTTTCTTGTAAATAGAAATTGGCAGGCTATAAAGTTCCTTTATCAGAGCCACAGGGTGAAGATGACGATGCAGAATCGCGTGAACAGGAACGCCAAGAAGAACAAGAAAGAATTGATAATGGTAAATTATATTTGAAGAACATTTGTTATGATATTCAGTTAATTAAATGTATGCTTTGTTATCTATAGCGGAACCTCTTACCGAAAATGAAGAATCCGAAAGGGATAGATTAATGAATGAGGTAAGTATAAAATTTTATGTAATTTTTTTCTTATCTATATCAGCTAAACTATTGTATATATAGATTTTTGAAGATTGGAGTAAACGTGACTTCAATAATTTTGTGACTGCATCTGCACGATGGGGAAGAGATGCCATTGCGGAAATTGCCGAAGAAATGGAAGGAAAAACTGCAAAAGAAGTCAAAGCATACGCCGAAGTGTTTTGGGATCGTTATCATGAATTACCTAGTAAGCAAAATGTGTTATATATTTATTATTATTTTTATTATTATTAATAATATTCTTTCATTTTAATCTAGATTACGAGGAAATAATTAGCAAGATAGAAAGGGGCGAAGCCAAATTGCAACAAACAGCCGATATTCAAGAATTAATTAAATCAAAAGTTAAATATTATCGGCAACCAGGACATCAATTACAAGTTTCAAATCAAGGCAAAGGGAAATCATTATACACAGAAGAAGAAGATAGATATTTGTTAATTGCCTTAGCCAAATATGGATATGGAACTGATGACGTTTATGAAAAAATACGTAGTGATATTGAAAGCGTAGACATGTTCAAGTTTAATTGGTTTATAAAGTCAAGGACAACAAGCGAAATTGCTCGAAGATGTACTACATTGATAAATCTTATTCAAAAGGAATCTGGAGATGAGGAGGAAGATGAAAGACCAAAAGTATATTAATAATAATTTTGCTTCGTAAAATCTAAACCTTTTGAACGATCTATTAATTAATTTTATTTATTTTTATTTTTATTAGAGAAAAGAAACTCCAACAAGTAACGGCACATCTGTTTCAAATTCTAAGCGTAGTCGACGTTAGCGAACTAAAAAGATGTTTATATTAGTTAACCTACATGATATACTAATAAATTACCATTATAATATCTGACATTTTAATAACAAAATAAAAGAGTAATTAATAATATATAGAGTTCTATACATTGCATAACAGGTCATTTTTGGATTATATTAAGATAGTAAGCTGAAGTACACTCGCTCACTATAAAGTGTGAATTTCTATATTTCGTTATAAACACAATAAGAATAATTTAGTTATACAGGAAAGAACTAATTATACAAAAAGTTAGTTATATTATTTTCAATAAATATGATAACAAATATATATATATATATATATATTATGGAAATACGATATGAATAACTTAAAACATTATTAAGAGATGTTCAAAATAAAAAATTGCCAATTTTCTTCATTTTCTTCTTGATAAATCTCTAAATGCTGAATCAATACAATTCTTTATCTCTTTATAAGAAACAATTAAACATGATTGTTCATCTCTTGAAACCAACATTATCCTTTCATCAACTCCAGCATCCAACTAAAAAATTATATATATTAAAATATAAATTAACAGAATTCAGAAGAAATGGTGGTGAACGAACTACAAAATGTTTTTAAAAATACATTAATAAACTTACCTTATTTAAACACATTAGTACATGGGCCATATCAACTACAGGGTAACCATTTTCATCTACTTGATGAAACACATAATCCCTAAATAATTTAATTAAATATCTATCTCCAGTTTCTGACCAACTTGGATCCATATCAAACCTAAATTTATTTCATCAGAAAAAAATGTAAATTAAATTTGGTATTTGATCAAAGATAAGAAATAAATAAATATGTATAGACAAAACGTACTCTGGACGTTCATTAATAAATCCGAATTTACATGGTAATCTTACTAATCTTCCATTTTCTAATTCCTGACTCAACCCACTTTCCAAAAAATCATTATAACTAGAAAAAAACAATCAATTAATTCCGAATTTAATAAAAAACAGAAAAATATAAATTTTCAACGTAAAAGGAATATTTACTGATGAACGCTATTAATCTCGTGTAATAGTCGTGGTCCTATCATAGCTATAACATCATCTATAGATTTCATTGGAGTTGGTTTACTTAATAAATATAATATCACATTCTTTAAATCGAGAGAATAATGTCGGGAAATGTAATCAATTGATTTCGGTAAATTATGAACCGATGAAAGTGAATTACACGCAAGTGAAATAATTAATTGACCGAAATTTAAGAGATCTTCTTGCTAATAAAGGTTTTAAATATAGAGTTTTGATTAGTTTATTTAAAGCATAGTTACAATAAAAAAAAAAATCTTTGGACTTCACGTGAATACAATATCAGCTAGCTCATAATGTCTTATATATATATATATTTGAATTTTCAATCACGTATGCCCAAGAATTCCAAGAATTTTCAAAGAACCTGAAAATGTGGGATATTTTTCCCACCATCAAAAGTCAACATATCCATTATTCCACAGCAATTAATACGTATGCTACTTTTAATAATTTAATAAATTACTTTAATGTTTAAATATTAAAAATGTTTAAAAACGGAATAAACTTTTAACCAATTAACCTTACCGATTTTTATTCGTTAATAAAATTTTTGTAGGTTCAATCGTTCGAGCTGCCAGTCCTGAAGAATGTATCGTCTTTATTGCAGAAGCCAACTGTGTAATATAACTCCATAAAACTGTTTCAGTAATAGCACCAGTCCCGCCACCCTGAGGAAGATTTGTTGGTTGCAATGAAGGTGAAAAATGTTTGTCGAAAAGAGTCTGTGATAAAGGATGATAATCGTATACAAAAACAAGTGCTTTCATACAAACAAACTTTAACGTTAGATAAACCGGGTATTTACCATGTTAAAAAAAAAGGTACATATTAATTTCTGAAAATGAAATATTACTCACAATGATCACCAAAAGCCTTAGTAGTAAATGCTTCACGTACAGAAACAATATTTGCATGTCTAATCCTTCGCCAATTTTCTATTGTTGACATCGCTATTTCATTTGTTAAACGGAAACCTATTCACATCAAAAGTGATGTCAGTATTAAATTTTGCTTAAAAAAATTCGAATTAAGAATATTCTGACCCACCTACCCTCAATGCGTCTTAAACAGTAGACGCGTCCATCAACAAGACAAACTGATTTGTATACCCAACTTGGATATCCAAATATCTTTATGGATTTCTCTTGGCGTTGATCAAGAGGATACAAGGAATGGTATACATGAAGTTCTTCCGGTAAATTAAAATCTTTCGCTAAAAATGCAATTTTAAAGATGAAGGATATCAGCAATGATCAAAATACATATATATCTTGACAATATTTATTACCATTCACGATTTTCAACGTAGCTTCATTCTTTTGTTGTAATTCTTCACGTAAATGGTCCGACATAAAAAATGAATGAATTGTTTTTTGATGCGGATGTAGATTGGAAACATGCGGTAGGGGTGATGTGTAAAGGTGATATCGTAACTACGAAAAATATTTTGAAATTCAATTTCAGTCATATATCGGAACTTTTGATAAGAAAATCAAATTACCGCATCTACGTTCATGATAATTATCGTACTGGTTGAGGCAATAAAGCCTGCTGAGATTGATATAAGAATGGATCCAAATGATGTGAAGTCGTAAAATAGCTCGTATTATTCATGTGATGATGTGACAGAACATCTGGTATCGAATTCTCATTAGATGCAAATTGATTCGCCTATAATATGACGCGTAAAAAAATTTAGACAATATATAAATATATAACATTAATAAATATTAAAAAAGATAAAAATAAATATTTTTTTATATCCGACATTGGCGTTAAGCCCTAATGAAGCAAATGAATTGGCAAGTGCGTTTAAACCATGACTTCCAGCACCTCCAGGAGACAAAAGGAAAGGCGTTGAAGGTGGTACAGGAGGATAAAATCCCATACTCTGTTCGTATATTGTAATTCTTTAGAACAAAATAAAATTACTGCTAAATATGTTTGTTAACTAAGAAATATTGCTCTACTTTTATAACTTTTATATTAATATATTATTAGCAGGAAAAAAAAAGAAATGATTGGTAAATAATGTACTCATTATCATACTCTTGTTCTCCAGAATTTTTCTGAGGTGAACCTTGCAGTATTGTAAAATAAGGATAAATTAAATTTGAAAGTAAATAAATAAATAATAAGTATAGCGCAACGCATTTTAAATTACATTCATACCTGGTGTACTTGTAGGAGTGACTGGAATTTCTTCGGGAGGGTTTACTTTAATAAACATTACATGTATAAACTTTAAAATTGTTATAATAAAAATTCAGTAAAACTGTATATCAAACCTTGAGTACTTTTAGGGATAAAGGGTGGCGCATTTACTACTTCTGGTGGAATGGATGAGATTAAAACGGAAGGTTTGAACACTGGAGAATTGACACTTAATTTTGACTTGGTACTAATTAATTAAATGAAATATAAAAATAAAAGATAAATTAATTGTAATTTCTTTGAATTCAAAAGAAAATAACGAATCTAACGAATCGAGATTTACTTACGTTTCCGGACTATTTGGAGGCGATGTCGATTTTCCCTAAAAAAAAAAAAATGAACAGATTGAACTAACAATTTGAAACAAAAATATAGATGCAAATAGGGGTAAAAATTATAACTTTACAAGAGATCAATAAGGAAGCGTGTCACTAAATCATTACGTTAAAATTTTAACATAATGAAATTGCCACTTCAGTCAACTTACTAAGTCGTGATTAAACTCACAACCTTTTCCCTCATATTTACAGTATCCATGTATAATTAAATTTCTACAAGTTCGCGTTTTGGCATTTGCTGCTAAATCTATAATAGAATTTTAAAAAGTTAAAGCAAAAGAAATGAACAACGAAGCATAAGTTTGATAGACTGGAATTCACGTAAAATGTAGTGTCAAAATTTTAATGATACTTTTTGAAGGAGGTGGACTTTTAGGGGTTTCCTTTTCGGTAGTAGGTGCGACAATTGGAATCGCGGATGATCCTGACGGGGTTGGAATCGAGAATGAAGACATTGAATTATAATAAAACAAGGAAAATATCAGCGCGATCCGAATGCGAAAGTGACAAAAGAAATAAATTCTAGATAAAAAAAAAATTTGACTTATTCACGGTATTCAAGGTAACACACGCGTAACGCAAAGGAGTTCATGTAACATCTAATTACTAGCGTGTTCAAAAAAAAGTATCTGCAATAATTCACCAACCGGTATCATATCCGAAAATTTTCCAAAGACCTATATTTCCTTCCAAAACTTGATCATACTTAATGTTTAAAGGTTTTTTAACCTAGAACGATTTTATAAGTGACAAAAGTTTATACCGCTTGTTCTAATTAAAGAATCAACACAATTTTTTCTTATATATAGTAAGGTGAAGGGAACGAAGGTTAGGATGTCGGTTACTCAAAACATTCATTGTCCTGGTATTGATTACCTTGTTGTGATTGATTTCGAAGCAACTTGTGACGAGAACAACACAATTCCACAAACTATACTAGTGACAAAGGTACTACAAAAGCAAAGTAAATTCTTTGTAAGCTCTTGTTTCTTTCTGTCGGGTTTACGGTTGGCTTCGGTGCTCGTACGCGTTCTCGAACCGTGTCCTGATATTTTATTTGTTTTTTTTTGTTCAAGAAAGTTAACTACATTTTAATGAGATTTATTACATGGTTTGCAAACGTTGTTGGCTTGATTCTTTACTAGGAAACGGCAGAAATCATAGAGTTTGCCTGGGTGATTGTTGATACCAGCACTTTGGAAGTGGTTAGTATCCAAATAATTTACTGGAAAACACGTATTTTTACTAGAAATCAAAATTTGGGGGATCTTTTCAAATTTGGCGCAATTCAATCATAATAATAAACATATAGGTGTATCAACACTCTCAATATGTCAAACCAGAAGCTACTCCTTTGACTCCTTTCTGTACCAGTCTAACCAATATAACTTGGGAAAATCTCGAAACCGCGGGTACTTTAAAAGATGCCATAACCACTTTGGACGACTACATTAAAAACTACATCATCGCCAACAACAAAACGTTTTGCTTTTGCACTCACGGAGCATGGGACCTTAGGATCCAATTGCCTAGAGAAGCACGGGATAAGCGTATTGAATTACCTCCTTATCTGGCACATTGTAGAATGTTTGATTTAAAACAGGAGTATCAAAGATGGCAAGTGCATCATCCAGATGTGATATTAAAAAATCATTCTTTAAATGAAATGTGCGCTGCCTTTGAATTACAAATGGGTGGTCAACCACATTCTGGATTAAGAGATTCACTTACTATGGTTTCCATTATTCGATACTTTTGCTCTTTCGGACATCCTGATGTGTTTGTGAACCCTATTGACACCAACGCAGATTTGAACCAATTTAAAAAAGAGGAATCTAAAGTGATTCATTTGGCGGGTTTACCATATGATGTTACACAACCTGAATTAGAGGCTTGGTTTTCGGGTCAAGGTGTTAGACCAACAGTATTATGGATGATTCGAACACCCGATCATCAGAAACCAAGCGGTTCCGGGTTTGGAATCTTTGCATCACATGAAGACGCTATGGCCTGTTTAGAGATGAATGGGAGAACTTTAGGAGATAGAGCTATAGAAGTGAGTCCAAGTAGTGAAAGAGTTATTGAAGCAGCTGGAGCAATATTAGCATCATTTCCGGTATGTGAATATGTTATTTATTATGTTCAGATGCATGAACTTTTCATGCTTTTGCTTGATGATGAGGCTTTTAACCAATTATACTAATGTTATCAAATCAAATTATTTTATGAATCAAAAATGGATATGGATTTGCCTTGTATTTTTTTGCCTATTATTTTTTTATATTTTTCATTTGGTGAAAAGATGTCCAAAAATCGTCTTCGGCCGGGTGATTGGGTTTGTCCAACTTGTCAGTTCCATAACTTTGCTTCTAGGAGGACGTGTTTTAAGTGCAATGCTATGAACCCAAACCCTTCTCCGGTGCCTGGAACACCTCCAAATTTTACATTAGGAGATTGGATGTGTCCAACCCCACAATGTAATTTCCATAATTATGCATCTCGGACTCAGTGTTTAAGATGCGGAACATTCAAACCTCAGGGAATGTATGGTCCGCCGCCGTCAGCAAATATGTCTTTTCGTCCTGGAGATTGGATTTGTCCAAATCCAAGCTGTGTCTTTCAAAATTTTGCTTCTAGAACGATTTGTATGCGATGTGGTGCTACGAATCATATCGGATATGATGCATACGGGAACCTAACAACACAGGATCAAGGAGGTTATGCTGGTAGTGTTAGTCACGGGTCTTCGTCACCTGCTCCGGCACCCTTCCGGCCGGGGGATTGGTATTGTCCTAGTTGTAACACTCATAACTTCGCTTCACGATTTCAGTGTATTCGTTGTGCAATAAGTAAACCTCCTCAAGTTGCAAATAGCGTTGCCATCACAGCTAACATGAAACCTGGGGATTGGTTATGTAGTAATGAAATGTGCGGGTATCATAATTTTGCGAAAAGAACTCATTGTGCAAAATGTGGTATGCCGAATAATTCTACAGCGGGTGGAGAGAATGGGTTTCAACAATAATAGCGTTAAGTACAATTATTATATATAATAATATACTAAATTTATAGTTTCGTACTAGGAATATGAATTATTTAGTAATTTATGGAAATTTTTATAAAAATTTACTTTTGATTAGGTTTGAGGATTTTATTTAGAATATATTTGTATATTAAAAGAAATGGGGCGCTTTTTCAACCGTTCGAGTTTGGAGAAGCTGGTCGGGAATTTTATTCTTTTTTTTTTTTGTTCATTCTTACAAAATCTGTTTTCTTTGCATTGTAAACCTTGTAAATATTCTTGTTGGATGTCTTTGCACCATGACTTTTTTATTTTCCTAAAAAATTATTTTTTTGCCTTATTCGAATTTTTAATACCTGGCGCAATCATTTTGTTTATATCATTTTTCTTTTCTTTTCAATTTACATGCTCTGATGAGCTTTAAAAAGGAATTTCATTACTGCATCTTTTATTAGTCATGTATAATGGGGGAAAGGGATAGCATTATTTCGTATATTATTATATGAACAAAATTAAATACTTTAACGAAGATCCAAATTTAGTTACTCGAATATTTCATTTTCTATTATTGAATGGTTTTGGTTCATGGGTGGAATAAAAATATAAAAATTGTCTTAATCTAGAATTCTTTTTTTTTTTTTTTTCTTTTTTTTTGATTCTAGTTATCTTAAGGGATTTTTTTTTTAAAAATCGTATTAATAAATTCTTTTCTTTATTCATCAAGTTGTTTTTTCCCATAAACCTTCTTTTAAAGGTAATTGGCTACAATTTTCAATTATATCTAACGAAATTTCAACGATTTGTTCATGTAACCTTTCAACGGATTGTTTAGCATCTAAAACTTTCCACAAAGAATCATCATCATCTTTTTCTTTTAACAAAGCGAATGTTTTACGAACTATTTCTTGAAAATCTTTTTTTTCGTAGCGTTCTTCACCAAATCCACCTCTTTTTTCAGATTCCTCAGTCGATAAATCCATAAAAATGATAACATCCGGACGTAATAATCCTATATCCGAACAACGACACCAATTTAAATCCAAACCCTAATGATGAAGATTGTTATATTTCAATTTAATATATTATAAAGAAGGAAATAAACCATATATATAATTTAAAAACATTAATTACTTTGGAAGCTGAATATGATACACCAGAATAAGCATATCTATCCACAATTATTGTCGTTCCACCAAGTAGTAGATTTTTCATTTTTGGCCTAATAAGGTATAAAATTGGTTTAAATTAGTTTTTAATTTATCCTTTTAATTTAATTTATTTATTTATTTATTAATTTATTTATTTGCCTAAATCATTATTATTATGAATGAAAACTTACATACACTCCCATCTATTTGCAGAAAATAATAAATGAATTGCTTTATCATCTAATTCTTGATTATTTGTTAGATATGCGTTAATCGTTTGTCCAATTGGTGTCGTACGATCTGAAAAAAAATTTAATAAACACTATTGCTTAATTTTTTTTATGAAGACATTTTGCTTTACATTAAAATGAATTTTATATACCAGGAAATTTCCAAAATTTAACAGCATGTCCTTTAATTTGTAAATATTCAAAAAGTTTATTCGCTTGTGTTGATTTTCCTGTTCTGTCACATCCTTCAAAAAGGATAAAAGCTCCACGTTTATAAGTAGAAGTATTTGTACTTATTGATATTTCTTTGGACATTCTTTTTGAATTAAGATCGCTTATTTGCTTTTTTATTTGCTATAATTAAGAAATTTGCGAAAACGCGCTATTTGACTAAACGCGTTATTTGACTAAACGCGTGTTTAATAGACTTATAAGATTAAAAACCACGTGTTAGGTAAAAAATCCATTTTAATATTGTATTTTTTATATTGAATAATTACATTAGTTACAAAAATTAAAATAAATGAATTATCCTGATAATTCAATTTGCAATCAGTATTATTTAATGATTATCTCCGGCTAAAGAATATTTCGATATGTGGAATTTTCGTGAATATTATTCCAATTTATTACCTGTATAAAAAAAAGGTCACGTTTGAGGATAAATATCGGTTTAGTTCAAATTCTTTATCAATACCGCATCTTAATTGAAAATTCAACATATATAAAAGTTTCAGACTCTTGTATTTAAGGACTTCTTTCTCCAGTCTAAAACGTAAATCTTCAAATAAATAAGCTCCACAATTTGCATGCATTCCAAAAATTTAAGTTTTTTTCAAGGTCCACGGTTAAGGGAAAAGGAGTAACGTTTCATCAGTTTACCAGAAATACCAAAAAATAAAAACCATTAAAAAATATGACGACTCAACAAAACCAAGTAGAAAAGAGTCAACCGACGAGGAAATAAACAAATAGGGTTGTATAAGAGAGAGAGAGAAAAAAAAAACATAAAATTGAACCGAATTTGAATAAAGGATGAAGCCAATAAAAAAATAAGTCGTAAAAATAAGCACAAGAGACAAAACCGACCTCGTGTCTCTATGAAGGATCCCTTTTTTTTCAAAAAAAGGAATCCATAAATCGAAACTCATCGACTTGCCTATTAGTTGCTTATCGTCATCGACTCAACAAAAAAAAAAA